AGCATTAAAAAAAAAAAAAAAAGGTGGTAGCTATGGGGATGACATTAACTAAGTAAAGGATCCTCTGTCTTGCAGTGGATTCCCTGTTACTCCACTGAGTTCCCCTTCATAGAGTCAATGTACCTCCTAGCCCTTAACTGCTGGAGATACTGGTTGCCAGTGACTCACAGCTTATCTTGAGATGGGCACGTCTTCCACAGAAAGGAGTTGCATTGCCCAAGGTTACTATCAATTTCAGGAGGCAGCTCACAGCCAACGATTGACTGATGCTGGTATACAAAGGCCCAGACTTCTTGCCTCAATTTGGGACACTTGGACTTTAAGGCTGTTCAACTGGGTACTGGGTCAGCGTCTCCTTGTCTTCAATCCTGCCATCATCATGTCCTTAGAAGTGTATCTCCTGAGAACACTCTCAATAAACCTTCTGCATGCCACTCTTCATCCCTGAGTTGTTTCCAGGGAACTTAATCTAAGTGATTCTCTCTTCATAGCAAGTGTTCCCTTTGTAGTAAACTTCAAGATATATAGTATTAACCTTCCAAAAAACCAGATTCATTGTCTTTGAGTTGTTTCTGACTTAGAATGACCCCATATGTTACAGTCTAGAACAGCTCCATAGGGTTTTCTTGGCTGTAATTTTTGTAGGAGCAAATCACCAGGGCTGTCTTTGGCAGCATTGCTGAGTGGGTTGGAACTGCCAATCTTTCAGTTCATTGTTGAGCACAATTTGTTTGCACCACCAAGGGACTTTATGCAATTATAACACCACCATAGAAAAATGATGTTGTTCACAGTTGGAAGGAAAATGTTTCTGTTAAGTCTAAATATCTGACATTTATTTTCCCTGTGGCAGCTCTGGCCTTCCTAAGGAGGCCTGTGAGGGTTAATGGGACCACCAGTGACAAGACTACAGTGACTCTAGAAACTTACACCTGAAGTCACTGTAGAGACAGATTGAAACGGAATTTCAAGCACCACGAACCTGTGTCAGGCTAAAGGACATTGTTGGAAGAGAATAGGTAAGAGATTAGCTGAGACATTGAAGGAAAATTGGAAAAGAGAAAGAAAAGAAGATAGAGGAGAACTTTCTTTATAGATGAGAGATTTTTGTTTAATTTCCTGCATTTATTACTTTAAAATGGTAATAAAATAAGAAAGAGGGAGAAAAAAAACACACATCTGTTAAATTACTACAAAAGCCTTTGTAATTTGAGAGGTAATTTCTCCCTGGGTAAGAAAGAATGGTTATAGATTTGTGCAAAGAGTTAAATCTCATGATGTGAACATGCTATGAACAGCCCCACCTGTGTGTATAATGTACTTAAAGGATTAGAGCAAACTTTGAAATTATGATATGTTTTACCTAGAGTAAGCACCTCACTCTTTAAGCTTCTATTTCCTTGAATGGGGAAGGGGGAGAAAAGCATCAATTCTCTTAGGTAATCAAGTGCATAAGACACTCTCTACTTGTGAGACTTAATGAAGGCTTAAATTCAGGAAGATGAAGGGCATTTTATATATTTATTTTTCAACTTAAACACATTAATAAAATCTAATTCCAGTACTTATGATTCCATCTCAAAGTTGTCACTTGTAAAAAGTCTCTACTTTGGCAGAAGGGTAAATTTTCAGGGAGCTGTAGGTGCAAGGGGACAGGGGAGCAGCTGTAGTTAAGGGGGGCTAGTAGGAGATGGAAGGGAAATTTAAATATATATATATATATATAGCTGTGGTCTGTGGTCCCTTCAGGGACTTGAAGAAATGTTAAGTTAGAACCTGATGTTTGAAATGTAAACAAGAGTTAGCACTTGAAGGGAGTCCCTGGATGGTGCAAATGGCCATTGCACTTAGTTGCTAGCCAAAAGGTTGAGGTTTTAGTCTGCCCAGAGGCACCTCAGACAAAAACTTTTGAAAAATCAGCCATTAAAACGCTATGGATCATAGTTCTGCTCTGATACACAATAGGTTGCCAGGTGTCAGGTGTCCGAGTGACCATGATGGCAACTTGTATTGCTTTTATCACTTACACAATGTTATGAAACTAAATACAGAAACTGCTCTTCCCTTTTATGACTTGCTAGGATCCAAGGGCAGTGCATTTATGAGACAGTGACCATTTCCTGTTACTGGTTAATCTGCTGCTTTTTGGTTTCCTTAGGTTGGTAGGTGGCCTAAGGGTGGGAGAACATGGTAACCAGCAATATGTAAGTTAAAGAGTCTTTAGGATGCGAACAACCACGCACAGCTATTTCTAATAAAGACAAAATACTTTATTGTAAAAGCATCCATATGTTACAAAATAATACATAGAAAAATAAAGTTGGTTGGGGCTACTTTACTAAACTTCAAGTCAAGGTTTTTTATGTTACGTACAGATCAGAGCAGGATTTGTCATGTAAGGGGGGAATCCAAATGGCTTTATGAAACAGAACAGATTTTCTGAGTGAAATGGCAAAGGGCATTGTCCAGCTTACCTGTCAGATATGACAGAATAGTTCATCATTTTTTTTTTTTCATATTAGTTCAGACAAGGGTGAATAACTAGAGCCAAATGGTAGAAAAGGAAGATAAATTCACAAATACTTTTTTTTTTTTAACAAACACTTTTTTGCTAAATTAAACAATCACTTATTTTTTTGGCAACACACAATACATTGCAGTAAAATGCTTATCACTTGCAGAATTTCAGGTTGAATGCATTTGATTCAGAGAGTAGTGAGGGCAAGCATAGTGAAGAAAGTACTAAAATACATGAAAGACATATGAAAAAGGAGAAAACAAATGAAGCTCTTCTACCTGCTGTGCTATCTAGTACTGCAGTGGCTACCATCAGTACACAACATTGAAGAGTGCTTCAATGTGGAGCTCAACCATCAAAAAGAATGTAAAACCTGCCAACTTTCTACCAACTTACTTTGGCAGTTTTGCCACCAAGAGAAAATTAGCACTTTTAGTAGAAAGAAATTGAAAGCATTCTTTGTTAAACTGAATTTAGTAGTGGGACCAAGAGACTTTCAGGTTTTCTGGTAACTTGTTAGTAATTGGCTTTTTAAAATGTGATGTCTCTCTACACCAGATTATCCAAGATAATAGGATGGGAATGAATGGAAGGTCAGCCAAATCTCTCTTTTGCCCTCTTCTCATTCTCTCTGAAATCATTAGTGACCCATTTTGGGTACTGGGACTTTAAGAAATATGTGTGTATGTGTGTGTGTGTATCAAATACAGTTCTTAAAGCATTTGGGCATTTTATTGTAATCCAAGTCATAATAATGTGTTTTGAACATGGTTGCAGCTTTCTCCATAGACTGCCTGGTAAGAAGCTCTCTGAAGCCTTGGTTGCATTCTCCTCTGTTCTCAGCCCATGAGCCCTCTGTTTCCTCTAGACAATGCCATGATGCCGGGTCCTCCTGTGTGTAAGCTATAAACCTCTTGTCAGCAGGGAGTCCAATCAAAAGGGTTGTCAAATTTTGACCAGTAGCAACAGAGCCACCAGCAAGTCTTATGAAAGCAGTAGTAAGTGACCTTCCAGATCCGTCTGGTCTTTAAATAGGATTCAGAATTTAATGCTGTGTATTTTTAAATGAAGAAACAAGAACTGCTAGCTTAAAAATGCATGTTATTTAGCCAATTCAAAATAGCCCCCCCACTCCACATTTTCTTTTTTAAACCTGAGATAAAGCTTAAAAAAAGACCAAGTCACAGGGTAAATAAGGAAGATGTATGTTTAATGCAGCCAGACTAACAATATAAACCAAAACAGATGCCCTTCAGTGGGGGATTTTGGTAGAAAAGTAAAAAACAAAATGAAGAGAAGTGAGAAGTGCCTTGCAGTTAAGAACTAATTAATATGCCATGATGGAGTCCTGGTGTGGTGCCGTAGGATAAGCACTTGACCTCTAGGTTGATTTGAACTGCAAGGTCGGCGATTCAAACTCACCAGTGGCTCCTAAGAAACCCTACACAGGGTCGCTATGAGTCGGAACCGACCTGAATGCACTTAACAACAATGAAGTATAAATTATAGCCTGAGAATGCCAGGAACCTTTTGAATCTGAATTCTCAGACCCAGAACAAAAATGCAGTGACCCCAACAGCGGAATGGAGACCCTCCTGAGGCCCCGCCTTGGACATGCTGAGGCTGTCTTACCAGGCTCACCCCTGGCAGTAGAGTATGTTTGCACAGCTTATTTTAAAACCACACTGAGTGAGAGTGAATCGTTTTCTACCTTGGGCCACCCTGTACGTACTTAAATTGGTGTGGTGATGGTGGTGGTGGTTATGTGTCACTGAGTCGGTTCTGACTCATAATAACCCTGTATAGGGTCCTGAGGTTGTAAATCTTTACAGGAGGATAAAGTCTCATCTTTCTCCTGCAAAGAGACGTAGATTCAAACTACTGAATTTGTGGTTAGGAGCACAGCTCCTTAAATTGGAATACTACTCGAAAAAGAAGTAAGACTCAGCTGATATTTTCATCATTTATCATTTGCCTCCAGATCCCATTCCAATCAGCTCCGAGTATGAGGAATTTCTCTTTTAGGCGTTTTCTTATAGAAAGAAAGAAATCTCTATTCCAGGGCCAGCGAAAGCAACATTCTCATCTTGGTTGTCCTTTCTCCCTCCAGGAAGAATGGGCTCTCCTGAAGTGATGTGGAAAGTCCATACAAAATCATACAAAGTGCTAGAAAAGTAACAGCATCTGAATATACCCCTCCTTGCTTCAAACAGGTGGCTAAAAGCAAAAAAAAAAAAACAACAACAACAACAAAAACCCACATTGTGTGTTGGGGAATTGTTTAAGTATTAAAATATTCACTGTACCATATCTTTCTTTGGTCTAACCCTGAAACATCTTGGATTCCTAGGCAAACCTGATAGTTTTGGTCTGCACACCTCTTGCTCCCCAGTGCTTTCCCTGGCCCCCTTTGCTTCCCAGAGAGATGACCTGGCTGGGGAAGGCCGTTTCAAATCACACCTAGTTGTCATCTGATGGTGCATTACCAGAAAGCTGGGCTCCAGTTCCCCAGGCAGTAAAGGTAGGGGTAGTAAGGGTAGCTGTTATACATGGAGATCAGGGAGGCGGCGGGGGAGAAGCCCTGCTCTTTCAGGACTGGCAGGGAAGAGTGCTTCTCCAAGTCTGAGGTGATCTGCTTCCGCTTGGTCTTATAACGTCTGTTCTGGAACCATATTTTCACTTGGGTCTCAGTGAGCTTGATGTTCTTGGCAAGGTGAGCCCTTTCAGGGGCTGACAGGTACTTCTGATGGCTGAATTTCCTCTCTAACTCGATAACCTGTGAGTGGGAGAAAGCTGCCCGGGAACGCTTCTGTGGCTGCTTGGGTGTCTGTGTCAGGAGGCTTGGTAAGGTGCCTGAAGTGTCTTCACAGCCTGATAGATAAGTCTCAGATTGTCTATCTGGAAAGTAGAGGGGAGAAAGAGAGATGGGAAGCACAAAAGTTACATTTTAGCGAGACAGAGAACAGATTTCAATCCACCCTTATTTCTTTGGTGAATGAACAAACAGTCCACTGTCATCTTGGATACATTTCATTTTTTTCACATGACTAAAACTCTCTAAGGTGCTCTGGTAGCAAGCATAGTGGTTACATGAATCGGCCTGCTAACCTCAAGGTCTGCAATTCAAAACAATCAGCCGTTCCAATGGAAAAAGATGAGATTTTCTGCTCCCATAAAGATTTACAGCCTCAGAAACCCTATAAAGGGTCGCTGTCAGTTGGACCCAACTCCACGGCACAAAACCACCATCAAGAAACGTTCTAGAGTGTAGAAATTAAATATGTATACTGTGTGCTAGCTTTCTAATAATCATCAAGAACCCAAAGTTAGAGGAGTTTAGTGGTTGAACGAAATAGGGATTCTGGATTTGTGGATTGAAGTGGGGTGGGAAAAGGGAAGCAGGAAAGGAATAAGATACCCGGTAAAGTGGGACCAAAATGCATCCGGGTTTAACATATAGGTGGGCAAGAGAGGGCTTGCGTGTGGAGAGACTGCAAGGGTTAACGGTAGCAGTAAATTCACTTTCTTGCTTTAATCCTCTTTCTTCTAAATGAGACTTTAGGTTGCCTCATAAAAAGTGATAGGAAAGAAATTAAGGCTACCCTAAAATGTTCCAACGATGTTCTGTCTCCTGAAGACTATAGGGAACTCTCACTTTTACTGGTTTATTGATGAAGAGTTTGAAGCAAAGGGAATGTTTACATTGATTAAACCCAGTTTAGTAACATTAATACATTATTATTAGCTATCTTAATTGCCAAGAGGTAACTTGAGGCAAGAGCCTATCAAAGAGTGCATGATCGTTCAGAGCTGGTGGAAGGTGGTGTTGGATTTCTATCTTCAACGCTATTATAGTCTCTGTCCGCGGAGCTAGAAGCGCCCGTGAGAGCTCACCGCGTCTGGAGAGCCGAGCCGATGTCAGCACCGTGCGCCGCCCTGACGCTGGGGCCCAGAGAGAATCCCCGAAGACACAGGGTCTCTTCTCCTGTCACTGTGGGCCTAGCAGCCCTGCATCCCAATCTCTATGAGGTCTTTTTGGACCATCCTTCCCTCTGATGCCAGCGCCCCTCCAGCCTATCGCCAGGACCTCTCCCTGCCCCTGACCTGGGTGGCGTACCTGGTTTGGTCTCTTCTAGGTTCCCAGCCTCCGCTGGAGTGGTGCCGGGCTGGAGGCTTAGCTCGTCCTCGGGGCCCACTGCACGGCCTCGGGCTCCTTTGGGCTCTGGCTCCAGCTCTGGCTTTGGGTACTGGCACTGGTCCGGCTCACTGGAGGGCTGCGACTCCGAAATGCATGTGTGACCACGCTGCTCCGCGCAGTCTCGCAGGATGTCCTGGATGAGGAAGGAGGTGAGTGGCTTGGACTGGGGCAGCAGCATGGTCTGAGGAAGGCGGTCAGTGGTCCCTGCACCCCCAAGTTGTGGCTCAGGAGATCTGAGCATCTTTGCGGTTTCTCCTGGGCTGCAGCTCTTGAACCCCAGGATGCCTCCGCGGAGCCGGCTACACTTTCACTTTCCACTGCTCCACCCGCACTTATAGCGCCGGGAAAGCGCGCCGCGCCGCACTGCCATTGGCCGCGGGGCTTGGGACTGCGCACTGGATTGGCCTCCTGACCCCCAGGTGAGGGGGAGTGGAGAGAGGCGGAGTCACTTTGCAGGGTCTCACTCCTCTCCAGAAGTCACGGTGCCAGATTTCCCTCCGCTGCCTCTTGATTAGCTCACTCCTCTCCAAGCCGTTTTCCCAGGCCAAGAGTGAAAACCAAAGTGGGTCTTCTCTGCCTAAACCCCTCTTAAAAGTTAAAAGCTTCTCAGTAATAATGATGCAGAAACGAAGTCCCCGATTTAGCTGGTATGGACGGAAAGTGCCTTTAATCATAGAGTGAGAGATAGATTCGGCAATTACTGTATCTGCTTTTCAGCAATTCAAACCTACTGTTAAGATTTACAGGCTCGGAAACCCTATACAGGGTCGCAATGAGTGGGAACCAACTCCATGACACACAACCATCACCACTACCACACAGGTGAGAATTCTGGATGCCTATAGACAATGACAGAGATTGGTGCCAAAACTGGATCTACTAAACATAAGTCTCCCAAAGTGACATGACAACTAGCTGTACCATCTGACCCTAGACTAGATTTTGTACTAGATGTTACTTCGTCAGCTGACAAAAGTGGAACACCACCGATAAGAATCAATGTAAAATTTACTGAAGCTGATAATTGTACTGTGATTATGCAAGAGAATATTCTTAGAAAGTTCTGTTCTTAGGAAACAGAAACTAAACTATGTAAGGACAAATGGCCATGATGTAATTTACTCTCATATGGTTCAGAAACAATAAGACAAATAAATAGATCTCACATAGTAATATTTCATTAAAATATTAACTGTAGGTCAATCAGGAAAAATGGTATTCTGTGGTTTTGTTTCTTTTCATTGGTGTAACTTTTTTTTAAGTCCTGGTCTAAGGCAAATTCCATTATACTGGAATGTTTTCCACAAGATGGTATGTTGTGTGCCTGTGTGTGGGCTGGGTGTGGTGTTAGGGATAGGCTATTGTGAATAAAGCAGTCACTGAAGAGTGCCACTCTGTGCAATGGGAAGGCCTGTGGTGAAGTTGGCTTTCTTCTCTCATCTCTTAAAGGTCTCTTTTCTTTAAAACACATTTCAAACTTTTTATTCCGAGAAACTGAGCCATATGAAGAACGGGACATCAGGATTGCAGGAAGATTCATTAACAACCTGCAATATGTAGATGATACAGCCTTGCTTATTTAAAGTGAAGAGGACTTGAAGCACTCACTGATTGATGAAGATAAAGGACTACTGCCTTCATTGTGGGTCACACCTCCTAACTGAACTAATCAGCAACTTCATGATAAATGGAGAAAAAATTGAAGTTGCCAAAGTTTTCATATTACTTGGATCCACAATTAATACCCATGAAAGCTATAGTCAAGAAATTAAATGATGTGTTCCTTTGGTAAATCTGTGCAAAAGACTTATTCTTTAAAGTGTTAAAAGCAAAGGTGTCACTCTGAGGACTAAGGTGCACCTGACCCAACCCCTGCTATTTTCAATCACTGTGGGTTAATGTGCTGGATTGCAAGGTCGGTTTGAACTGCAAGGTTGGCAATTCAAACTCACCAGTTGCTCCTTGGAAAACTTTTACAGGGTTGCTGGGAGTTGGAACCAATTTGACTGCACTTAGCAGCAACAGCAACAGATGTCTGCAAAAGCAGAATAAAAGGGAGACTTAAGAATTGATGCTTTTAAATTGTGGTGTTGGTGAAGAACACTAAATATGCCAGAAATGGCTAGAAGAATGAGCAAATCTGTCTCTTAGGATGTATAGCTAGGATGCATTTTAGAAGTGAGGGAAGTGAGAATTTCAACATGTTACCAGGAAGTTCCAGTCCCTGAAGAATGACATTATGCTTGGTAGAGGGTCAGCAAAAAAGAGGAAGAGTCTCAATGAGCTGGTTTGACACTGTGGCTGCAACAATGGGCTTAAACATGGTCACCACTGTGAGGATGGTACAGTTTTTCCTTCTGTTGTACACAGGGTCATTATGAGTTGGAAGTGACTCAAGTACACCAAACAATAACAACATAGATTCACAAGAAGTTGTAAAAACAGCATCTGTGAAAGGGAATGGGGGAGGACGGGGATAGGAATTTATGATTCAATTGCGTGTAATTGTTATCAGGATTAATTGTGATTGTCACAACTGTACATGTAGAAAATGTATAACTAAAATGGGGGGGGGTGATGTAGTTAATCTCCATTTCGGGAACAGAGGACCGTAGGACCAGCAAGAAGGAGGAATATAAGTGGAGCGTGGGATCCTGACCAGGAAAGCAATGACAGTAGAGACACTGGCAGAGAAATGGCACAGAGAGAGAGTAGCTGAGGACAATAGGCCCATGGACTGAGAAAGGCCGTGTGCCTGCAGACAGGAGGCTGGCTTGCGAAGTGTGCCCTCTGGACTTTTAAATGAATATGTATTTTCTGTTTTGCATGTGTACATCAAAAAAAGGAGGGGGAGGGAAATAAAGGTAAATGCTTGATGGTATATGGAGGGAATTGTAATCATTGCAATGAAGCAAACTATGGTTTACTGAATGTAAAAACTGATCATATGCCCTGTAAACTTTCACTCAATTCACAGTAAAAATGTAATTAAAAAAAAAAAAAAGATAGTGTCAGCAATTTCCCCCAGTGTTAATGTTGCTATCTTATATAACTGTGAGGGTGGTGATGTGCTGTGGAGACAGTTCTGAGGAAAGCCTTCTCTTTCTCCTGTGCAGCAGCTGGTAGTTTTGAACTGCTGACCTTGTGGTTAGCAGCTCAACTCATAACCTACCAAGCTACTGGAGCTCTGTATAAAACTGTGATACAATATCAAAATCAGGAAATTGACAATAATACATTGCTATTAACTACTCTACAGAAGCTATTTCATTTTCACCATTTTAAAACCTGCATTTGTGAGTATGTGTTTGAGTACATAGCACTATGTGATTTTATCATGTGTATGGATTCCTATACTCACCACAATCACAATGCTGAATAATTTCTTCACTACAAAATAACTCCCATATACTTTATCTTTGTATTTGATTACTATGCCACCAAACCTTAACCCCCTCCTCTTCCTTTTCTTGCTGTTATGAATTAAATTCCTATTAACATTCATGTACAGATTTTTATGTGAACACAAATTTTCATTTCCCTGGGATAAATGTATAAGAAAGAGTGCAATTTATGGATTATATACTAAATGACCCTTTAGTTTTAACTGGCAAGCGACTTTCCACTGTGGTTGTACATTTACAGGAATATGTGAGAGTTCCTGGTTCTCCACATCCTTGCTAGAATTTGGTGTTATCATTAAAAAAATATATATTATATAGCCATTGTGATAGGTGGTTTTATAAAATAGGAGCTATCATCATGGTTTAATTTTTAATTTTGATATCTGAAATGGTTAATGATTTTGAACATATTTTCATGTCTTTACTTGCCATCCATATCTCTTCTTTGGTGAAATATCTATTCATATCTTTTGTCCATTTTATAATTGGACTGTTTAACTTTTTTACTGCTGAGTTTAAGATTTCTGTATATATTCTCTATAAAAAGGCTTTGTTTTGTATGTGGCTTTTAAATATTTTTCTCCAGTCTGTAACTTGTCTGTCCATCTTTTAAACAGGATCTCTACAACACAAATGTTTTTTGATGGAGTCCTGATGTGGCACTGTAGGATAAGCACTGGACTGCAAGACTGATTCGAACAGCAAGGTAGGAGCTTCAAACCTACCAGTTGTTCCTCAGAAACCTGTACAGGGTCACTATGAGTCGGAACTGACTTGGCAGCCCTTCATTACAACGATTTACTAATTGGACTCCAGGCGTGGTGCTGTAGGGTAAGAACTGGACTGCTAACTGCAAGATAAGTAGTTCAAACCCACCAGCTGCTACTCAGGAACCCTATACAGTATTGCTGTGAGTTGGAATCAACTCCATAGCACTAGGGCACAACAACAGAAAGAATTTACTAATGCTTCATGTGATAGATTGTACTTTTGAAGTCATGTCTAAGAAAAGCTTTTGTCTAGCGCTAGATCCTGAACATGCTCTCCTATGTTATCTTATTAAAGTTGTATATATTAATATTTTACATTAAAATCCATGATCTGTTCTGAATTAATTTTTGTATACAGTGTAAGGTTTAGGTTAAAGTGACCTCTTTTCATTTTCTAAATTTAGAGCTGCAGGTTTTTTTTTCTTTTCTTTTCTTTTTAAGGTTTTTATTGTGGATTGAGTGAAAGTTTGCAGGGCAGATCATCAGTTTTACATTCAATAAGGCATACAGCTGTTTCATTACAATGATTAAATCCCCTCCATGTACCATCAATTAACAGTATTTCTCTCTATTCATGTTAGCTCTTTGTTTGTTTGTTTTTTAACACTCAGACCTATATAATAATTTACAGCACCAAGGGCACATTCTGCAAGTCTGCCTCCTGGTCACCATCTCTTAGTCCCTCTCTTCCCATGAATCTAGAGTCCTCAGCTGGTCTCTCTCTCCATGTCCCCATCTCTGGTGTCGCTACTTCTCTGGATAAGGTCTCGCATTCCACTTATACCCTTCTCCCTTGATGATCCTAGGGTCCTTTTTTTCTGGACTGTAAGATTAACGACTCCCCTGTTTTTGTTACAAGACATCTACCTTTACAATTGTGACAGTACCAATTAGTCATGATAACAGTTACTCACTAGTGACTCATGAGAATCTTATCCCCATTTCTTTTAATCAGGCCCATCTAGACAAGATAAAAACTATGCTGCATGGTATTTCAAATCAGTGAAGAAAAAGTTAATTATTTAGTAACTAGTACTGCCATTTGGAAAATATGAAGTTCTTTTCTT